GAAGACCCCAAAATCAAGCTTTCTGGTTCTCCAGGTTGGGGGTTTGATCAATGGGTTAGCACCCCATCATCAAGAAAACTACCAAAAATGCTTTCAGACCAAATATAAAAAAGCCGGATGGATCTAAAAGGTTACGACTAAAGCGCAGGAAACGGATTTTACATATAGGAACATGGAACATACAAGGATTAAATACAAAGAAAAGAGAAGTGGAGGAGGAGGTAAAAAAAACAAAATTTTGACATTATGGTCCTCACCGAGACAAAGATTAAAGGTAAATACAGTGAGATATGTGGAGAGTACATGCATTTTTCAGTGGAGTGGAGAAACACATAAGGGCAAGAGCTGTAGTATCAGTGCTCATTAAGAAAGGCTTCAAAAACAATTTAAAGCACTTTGAATGCATTGAACGAAAGAATTATCAAAGTTAAGTTATATTATCTTTGGAAAAGAGGTGTGAGGTGGAAAAGAGGAATTGGAAGAGACCATAGAAAACATCCCTAACTATTAAGTTCTGTTCTGCACAGGAGACCTAAACGCTAGAGTTGGTAGAGAAGTACAAAGAGATATATTGGGAAAATATGGTGAAGATATTGTGAATGATGATGGAATTCGATTGAGAAGCTTATGGCTTAATGCTAATTTAAGAATCATGAACGGATTCTTTGAGCACAAAAGCATTCATAATTACACCTGGCACCATCCGACACGCAATCTTAGTAGTATACTAGACTACATCATTGTGAAGAATAACACAGTCATCACAGTAAATGATGTTAGAGCTATTAGAGGCCCAGAATGTGGTACTAATCATTACACAGTTAGGGATCTTGTGATGTTTAAAGCGTTTTAAACAACCAGAGGCAAACCAGCACATCCTTGGGAAACCAAATCAAATCAGATAAAGTATAAAATAGATGATCTATTACAAGACTCAGTCCAAAATCTTTACCAAAGTAGACTGAGAAAAAAACTGATTGAGGAAGAGGATAATAAATATGAAAGTTTTAAAAGGTGTATCCATCAAGCAGCTTCAGAAGCTCTTGGCAGAAAAGGGGGTAGAAAGAAGGAATTACAAATATTGGTGGGATATGGAATGTGAAAGCACTGTGCAAAAGAAGAAACAACTCTATGCAAAATGGTTCTCAAATAAAACTGAGCAAACCTTTCAAGAATATAAAAATGTAAATAGAGAAATTAAAAAGATCAGAGGCAATCAGTAAGTTTTGGGAAAGAAACTGCGAACTAATCATGGGCCATAATGGGTCAAAATATCAGTCTAGCATGGAAAAGTTTAAAAGCAATAAAACAACCCAAAACGAAGAGAAATGGACCTGATAATATATCTCCAGATATCTGGATTCAGTATTTTTCAAGTCTGCTCAAGGAAGAGAGACTGGCCTATATTACTCAACCAACAAGTAGGATAGCAGAAAAATGGGATCAGGAAGGCTTTATACCCATATCGGCTGAAGAAATCACTGTCGCTCTAAAAGGAATGAAAAATCATAAATCCGCAGGTCTAGGTGACTCCCAATAGAATTAATAAAAAATGGACCAAAAGAACTTATCCAATCCCTTTCTAAGTACATGACTCACTGCATAACCAAAGGTGAAGAACCAGAGAAGTGGAAAGTTGGCCACATTACCTCTATCTTTAAGAAAGGTAGCATAAAAGCCTGTTCGAACTATTGCGGAATAACAGTGATCAGTAGTATGAGTAGGTTATATGACAGGATCATAAAACGAAGACTGGAAGAAGAATGTGGTCATGTAATCCCCAAAGAACAAGCTGGATTTAGAATAGGGCAGTCCTGCAGTGACCATATCTTTGTAATTAGGCAACTCTTGGAGAAGGCAATGGCACACAATGAAGAAGTGCACCGAATATTTGTGGACTTACAAAAAGCCTATCACCCAGTGCCATTAAAGAAGCTGTGGGAAACGTTGGAAGACTTCAATATAAATCCTTACCTTTTAACAGCCATAAAAAGCCTTTATGATGATGCCAAAGCATGTGTTAAAATCGAAGCCACTGTTATCAAAAACTTTCTCATAATAAACGGCTTAAAACAGGGTTGTTCACTGTCCCCGCTTCTCTTTAACATTTATGTAGAAAGAGCTCTAAGAGAATGGAAGATAAAGTGTAGAGGTATGTGCATAAAGATTGGGAATGATTGCCTATTCAATCTCCAGTTTGCAGACGACCAGGTACTAATTGCTTCAGAAGCAGAAGATGTGGAATATATGATGAGAAAAATTCTTCAAGAATACTCAACCTGGGGGCTGGAAGTCTGCAAAGAAAAAACTGTAAATACAGCCTTTAATAGCCAAGGCTGATATCTACAATTGGACAACTGGATGTTGAAACCTTAAGCTCAATTTAAGCATCTAGGAAGCTGGGTGAATACGACAGGAACGTCGGATATGGATATTGAAAAGAACAAAAGCAACGGAGAGATAACCCTCAGAACCTTAAGTTCGGCACTGTGGAGTAATGCAGTGTCCTTAAAAACAAAACAAATCGTTCCTAGAGAGTGTTACTCTCTACTCAGCCAAATCTTGGACAATTGAAGAGAGTCAATCAAAAAGATTACTGGCCCTAGAAATGGACTATTAGAGACGATCATGTGGCATCTCTTGCCTTCAAAAAGTTCCAAACCGTGAAATAAGGGAATGAGTAGAACAAACGTAGAACATCCTCCACACCATTGAAACTATGAAACTAAAGTGGTATAGGCATGTGATAAGGATGGAAGAGGGAGGATGACCTAAGCGAATTTGGGATTAGAAACCAGAAAGGTCGCCCAAAGAGAAACTGGTATGAGGGCGTAAAGGAAGGAATTATGAACAGGGGCATACCTGAAGAAGACTGGAAGGACAGAAGAAGATGGCAACAACCTATATTTGGTGAGGACATATGACCAATGTTGTAAAAGTCGTGAAATAACAAAAATTATAAACAGTGCTTAAATTTACTTTGGTCAATGATAAAAGAGACTTTCAGGAGTTCTAATACAAAGCAGTACAAAGATATGCTGCTCGTGTATGGGCACTGTGACTGCAATAGTTCAGCGGCCATATTAGAGCCCCTGAAAGAAAAACCAAACAGAAAGGAAAAGCAGTTCTTCTTTATTACCTTCTGGCTTGAATGATCTTCTATTTATCCAGGTTCTTGTTATTACATGTTTTAGTTCATGTAAGTTGTTTAACTATATGAACCTGATTCACAAAATTAAATTTTTTCAAATATTTGGCTCAAATATGACAAATGATGAAAGAAATCCATTTTCCATAGTGCAGAGATATACTGCTCATATATGAATACTGTGACTGCAACAGTACAGCGGCCGTATTAGACCTCCTGAAAGTCACTTTTAGCATTGACCTTTGTTGTGGCCAAGATAGGTCAGTTAATTTTATTTTATTGTTTTTTTGTAATCATATAATCACATGGCGGGTCATTTTTATTTTCTTTATAATTATAGATAGTTATTTATTTTATCTTTATTTTTATGAAATAACACCATATGTAAAAGCCCTATATACTTTTACTATGAGACTTTTCATTAAGAACATTTAAGGGTGAGTGGGGCCACATTAAAAAACATTACTGACCCCACAGGTCTCCAGTTATAATCAGTGAAATAAAAGACATTATTTCTTAATTTAAAAACCTCACATTGAGGCTTAACTGTAACTTGGAAACCAAATCACATTTCATTTAAATGTCTCATAAGTCCAGTGGCTAACACACTCTGTAATGGTGAAGGTTCATGATTCAAGACTAGTGAAGCCTTTTACTTTTTTTTCTTTTTATTATATAAAAATATTAATTTAAATTTATATAAATTCATCTGTATATTTTTTAATCTATTAAATTAATTTAACATTTAAATTAAATTCATTTCTATATAATAATTAATTAAAAATCATCCATATAACATTTTAAATCTATTTCTAAGATTTCTTTTGTTTATGTTTAATGTTTCAAGATAATTTTGTTTATTTCACTATTTTATTTTGTGATTAGAGGATATATTTTTTAATTCATTCATTTATTTTATATCATGTATTATATCATTTATTATTTTTTTCTCAATATATAGAATTACTGCTATTCAGTATTTTATTTATCCAAGTGGATTTTTATTAATTTAAAATAAATTAATTAATAAGGCTTCAGTGCCTATGGAAATAAGGTTGTGCAGAATTGGCTGTTCATATTTTGAACGCCCGCTACTGCCACAACCTTAGTAAATTTAATCATTTTCCTCAAAACATTTTGTCTACTTTACAATGGTGTACTTAGAATTTTATTATCTTGAACAGCTTTTGAGCCATTTTTTCTTATTCAATAAGAACGTGACAGTGTGGTCAATTTTGTGTAAAATTGGTCTTATCTCTTTTTCCGTTCTGAATCTTCTATGTATCAAATGTACTTTTTTGTTGGAAATTTTGTCTAGAATCACCTCCCAGAATTGGGCCATAAGAACTGAGACAACCTGTATATTGCATATATAGGTAACTGAAATTAAAAATGGAAGAAGATAGACTTGTTAAGAAAGATTCAAGAATTCTTTGTGATATAAATAGAAATCTATTTCCATAAATTATTCTCAAATGGATTTATAGTTACATTTATTTCATCATTTGTTATATCTGAATCAAAATATTTGGAAGAATTTAATTTTGTGAATCAGGTTCAGATAGTTAAACAACTTACAAGTACTATAGGTTGTAAAAAAACATGTAATAACAAGAACCTGGATAATAGATCATTCAAGCCAGAATGTAATAGAGAAGGCCTTGTTTTCCTTCAAGGACCTTACTGTAGAGGGGAATATGAATGAATAATAATTTAAGTAATCTCAACAAACATAAGGCTAATTTACCACATTTTGTTAAATAAGTATGATAGATGACACTAATGTTAACTAGATATTATTTCTAAATATTCATAGAAAGAACAACAAAAAACAGTAAACTTCACAAATTACCCGGTTCACTCAATGCAAAGCATCCAACTTTTGAGCCATCAGTAAAAGGATTTATAAACAATTCCTTCTGTTTTTCACTACCAAATGCTAAAATAGGTCCCAGATACAACGAGTTATTGACACTCATTATTACACCAGCTGAAGCACAGCCTCTAAGAAAAGTAATAATAATGCATTAATACACCATCATTAAACCAATAGTGAATAATGTGATTCAACTTTAAATCAAAACATAAATATTACAAAGCATATAAATACCCAATACAATAAAATTATCAATATTTATATGTTAACATACAATGTCTATTTTAAATATTAAGATTGAAGATATTAAACCACTTATTAAAAAAATAGTGAATAGTAAACATTAGTATTTATATAGTATAAGCATTATTTAACATGAAAAACATAAATAAAAATCATAAAACTAAATAGGGACATTAAACCATAACTTTAACAAAAATTAGAATTCCAACCACACAGCCTTATTTCTCCAAAATGCAAGTAAAGAATGAAAAACTCGTCAACGTTTTGTCAATTCAGGCATCAGTACAAAGATGAAAAGCAAAAAAGAAATTATTGGTGATTTTATTTTATCATCATTTAACTATACTACAGATATCCCACTTTTAGAAAAACATCCTCGATTCATAAGATTTAAGTGGTTTTATAACTCGTCACCTAAAATACCCTTATTTTCATAAAAAAAATTACAATACATTATTGCAAAGCTTTAATTTATTTTATTTTATTGATAACCTGAGGTGTACAATAATAAATATAAATTCTTGAAGGAAGTTAGTCGACTGTTCTACATATCATGGGTGATAAATATTCAGGACGCAGTCTTTTTTAAATTTTTTTTGTTTTTGCCAACATTTCAACCCAAACATGTGGGTCATCTTCAGGGCTGAAAATGTTTTTTTTTTAATTACAATCAGAGATATAATAGTATACGACCGCTAATTATAAATAATAAACTATAGTGATTGATGGCACATGAATCTTAACTAATATTGTAATACACATTAAAATATTAAAATAGTTATACAAACTAAAAATAATTTTTTTTTTTTTTTTTTGGATAGCAAAAGGTAAGTAAACAAGGTTAGAGGGGAAGGGAGGGTAACATATGTTGTTTGTAGAATATACATAATTTGCTGACAAATATTTCAGACGTGTACAATATTTGAGTTATTTCATATGGTTACAGAAATGTGACTATTGACTAGTATTAAAATGAACATAAGCAAAAGGTGCCAATTAATATAAATATAGCTTAGTTTAATAGCAAGTATACAAGGGTTAGGTGAATCATTTTTATAATAAAGACAATTTCAATGTATGCAAATGATACTTAGGAAAACATATTATACAATATTTATCATAATATAAGTTTGTGTTATATTAAGGATTACATAGGCTATTGTTTCAGGAGACGGAAAATATTTGAATATGTATTGCAGATCTTTTCTTTGTCTACTTTATGGTTTACTGGATTATTTTTTTCCAAATTAATGAATATAGATTCCGATAGTAGTCGTTTTTGGTGATTGGGAACTGTGGCGAGTATGGTTGGGTTTTCGAAATCAAATGTGTGGTTTAGGGTTATGGCGTGTTCCGCTAGTTTTGAGGCAAACGGGTTTCGTGTGGAGATGCTATATTTGTGTTGATAGATTCGTTTTTTTAAATAGTTTTTGGTTTCTCCTATATAAGAAGAATTACAGTTTGGGCTAGAGCATGTGATATGGTATACAATATTTGATTGTTGTAGGAGCGGAACAGGATCTTTGAGTTTGGTGTATAGATTTCTTAGTTTACTATTATTTTTGAAAACTATTTGTAGATGGGGAAATTTGGAAGTTATCGCTTTTTTGATTTTTTGAGATAGGGCAGGGATGTATGGAATGGATCTATATTGGCAAATCGTGGTGGGGGACTGAGAGCAATTTGTGGGAGACTGATGAAGATGGGGTTTTGATTGATTCTTGATCAAGTTTTTTATAATGTGATCAGTTCCTGAACCGGCTGGATTATAAGAAACCGGCTGGTTGCTTTAATTATTATTATAAAAACATAAATATCAGAGTCAGAAAGCTTTAGTTGGTCACTTGTAAATACGGATGAATTCCTTTCATAGAGATCTCATTATTTTTAACATTTTTTTTATAAATAAATGTTAATAAATGTAATAAGTGTACTTATGCATTTATATTTATTATTATATACCCCAGTTTATCGAGAAAAAAAAAGAAATTAAAGTGTTTTATTAAAAACAATTGAAACAAAAGGTCACCAATAATAATAAAGAAAAAAAAGAAACTAAAGCTTTGCAATAACTTATTGAAGTAATTTTTGATGAAAACACGGGTACTTTTAAGTGACAAGTTATAAAATCAAATCATTTTTGTACACAACTTGAGGTGAATATCAAATTTTTGCCTATAAACATCAACTTAATTAATATCGACTTAAGACTTATTAATCAAAGAAATTTTTCTGAAAGCGGGGTATCTGTAGTATAGTTGGATGATGATAAAATGAAATCCCCAATACTTTAATTTAAAAAAAAAAAACATAACTAAGCTTAGCTCACAAGTTTTCTTTAAATTATTTTAACAATGGCAAACTCTATTTTATTTATAGTAAATTTTGTCTAGTTTACAGTGAATTAATTGTTAATAATTAAAATTAAATATTTCTTTAGTTAATGCTTACTATTCAACAATAAATGTGCGTAATCCAAAAAAAAAAACACCAAACTCAAATTTTCCTCTGCTTATGGGACACCCTGTATGTATGTAGATGTATATATATTGTGTCTCAAATTAACACAAGATTTAAATTAAATACAAAACACAGTTTTTTTTCTTTTGTTTTATTTTCCTTTGTCAATTTAACAGCACATGGTTTAGGATTAGCAATAATGGAGCGTTATACGAGCGAACGTGTTTTCATTGTTGAACAATATTTTAAAAATAATGAGGCCACAGTAAAAAATTCCTACAAAATATGGTCGGAATATTGATTTAACTTCACTAACTATGAAGAGAGTGATTGAGAAATTCAAGCAGAATGGATCAATTGATGATTTTAAACACACTGGTCGTCCTAAAACAAGGCGTTCAAGTGTAAATATGTGTGTGAGTGTTATAGCCCTGGAGACTGGGCCCAAAAATCAGTGTTAAAATATAAACATGTGTGTGAGTGTTATAGCCCTGGAGACTGGGCCCAAAAATCGCTCTGATGTGTATGTTATTCTGAGTAAAAAGAACCTTGTCTGCCGTTCCACAGCCGCTGCTTTCAAAATTGGCAGCTAATTTAAAGAATATTAGGCCAATAATTTGGGGATCAGAACAATGTATCAAAGCGAAAAATTTATTCTTTAATAAATTAAAGAACGTTAAATTTTGGTTACGTGGTAAGGTATAAAACCACGGCCAACCAACGCTGATTTTTACCAAATTTGTCAAAAGCTGAGACAAATTACTATAAATGGCCCTGTAACTTGGAAATGAGTTCCCTAAGAGGAAAAACCCATAGAATCAAAGTTGTGGAGCACCAAATTTTGATGCTCTACTGAGTACCAACTAATTTAATGTAGGTTACTAGTTGCGAACAAAATCGGTAATCTTCAGATGGTTAGAAATTGGTAATCAAGGTAAACGTGATTTTCAATATTTCAACAGTAGGGTGTCTATTCTAGTGAGTTAGTTTTGTTTAGAGTCTGTTACATGCAGTATAAGAATCTTTTCCACCTCTCAACAGCAAAGGATTTTGGGAAACAATGTGCCGAAAGATAGGGAATTTTATAAAGGAATAACGAATCCAGATTGGAGATATATAATTGGCCTACAATAAAAATGTCAGTACTCAGTAGACGCAATATTTGATGCTCTACAACTTTGATTCTAAATGTTTTTCCTCTTAGGGAACTCATTTCCAAGTTACAGGGCCATTTAAAGTAATTTGTCTCAGTTTTTGACAAATTTGGTAAAAATCAGCATTGGTTGACCGTGGTTTTACACCTTACCGCGTAACCAAATTTTAAAGTTTATGTACTCATTTGACGCAAAATTTAATGTTCTTTAATTTTACAGAGCGAATGGTATCGTCTGGTATGAGGCCAATGCTGGAAATTACAATTGAATATACATTTACTTGATCCAGTCTGTAAGAATTTCCTGGCGATGTTCACTGTGCCTAGAACTGCTTTTTGCCCTTCTTCCAACACTTTCTTTGGCAGTTTCAAATTTTTGACAGAGCGAATGGTATCGTCTGGGATGAAGCCATTGCTGGAAATTACAATTGGATTTACCTTTACTTCATTCAGTCTGTAAAGCTGCAGAAGCTCTTGGCACAAATCTTGATATTTCCTAATCTTTTCAGAAATAGTCTTTCTGATATTATCATCTGTTGAGATCGCTCTATCAATGACATACCCACTTTGCGTCTTCCGTTCAATTAATACCATGTTACGTTTGTTATTTACTACTATGTGATCTGTAATTATAGATAGATCCCAATATATTATTCTATTTTCTTTTGACAGTACCGGTTTGGGATCATATCGATAATAAGGAACCTTGTTTGTTCTCATGTTATTTAATGAGGGCAGCGCTAGGTGAACAATCTTAGCCAGGTTATTATGTCCCATCAGGTATTCTTTGCCTGCCAACGCTTAACATCCCGACAAAATATGCTGGATTGACTCGATTACATTTTTGCATAGGTAACATCGGTCACTTACATCTTCTCCATATATATATTGCTTCCTCACTACCGAAGATAGAGAAGCATTGTATTCGTGCGAGAGGTTAAACAAAATTTTGTGCTCAGAATCGAAAAATTCTTCTCGCGTTTTACGTTTCAGACATCAAGGATCAAATTTGATTCGTTGTCTGTCTGTATATCTGTAGTCTAATCGATGTAACGGGCATATCACCTACTACCGTTTATCCGATTTTCATGAAATTTTAAGGAACTGTGCGGATTGGTGTCTAGATGGTCCCATATCAATTTTATTAAATTCTAATCAACACTTCCGTTTACGCACACGCAAACTCATTTTTGTAGATATGCCAATATTTCAGAAATGGCTCGTTCGATTTGGCTCAAAGTTGGGTAAAAGGAAGGTATTTGTGAATAAATAATGTACAGTAAATTGTATTGAATTCTGTCCATTGCTTTCTCTTACATATGCGCAAACTTGTTTACCTTGATACATCTATATCTCTCAAACCGCAAGTTCGATTTCGCCTAAATTTGGAGGGATTTTGGGGATTGGTAAACGTAAAATGAAATAAGCATCAATTTTATCAAATTTTATGTAATACTCCCCCCAAAATACTTCCGCTTTCAGATCAGGAAATGTGTAAGTTGATATGCCTATAGTTTGAAAACGGCGCATTCAATTTGACCCAAACTAGGAGGAAATTCGGAAAACCGTATAGAAATTACTTATTATCAATTTCATTTAATTCCATTTAATAATTAAAATTAATATAAATAATTATTAATAATATAATGGCTGTGAAATGTTGAAGCCACTGATCATATGGAGTGGGAGTTAGGTTATTACAATATTGTTGTGGGGTTATAAAATTTTAGGTTTTATTAAAAAAAATAATTTATACAGTAGTGTTCAGGCGATTCCAAACATTACTCCCGTTACTTAGATTTCGTATAATTGTCAGTAGTAATTTTTACTCTGAATTTGTAAAAAAAAGTTTAATTTCTGATTGTGTTTATTTCCATTGAAGTTCAACCAGCTCATTGTGGTCTCGATTTTCTCCTTAAATATCAAAACTGTGTCAACTTCACTCATATTTTTATATTCCAGCTTAATTAGTTTTGTCCTGACTGAAGAATTTGTCCTGGTCTCGTTAATTCCTAACAAATAAAAAGTTGAATTTTTCGTATGAATTTTTGTTCCATCCATTTTATGAGTGAAAACATATCGATTAAGTATATATCACTACTGTTAGTGTAAAGGTCATATGTAAAAGTTTTCAATTTTTATTCTACATTAGACATAATGTAGTCTACAATTGATATAAGTAGTCTATTACTATGAAAAATAGCAGAGTGCAATACAATATCTTATAATAATGGCTTCTTCTAGAGATTTTGTTCTCATAAGAAATTTTTTAGACCTTTTAATACAGATATTTTTTAGTAAATGAAAACGGTGAGGAAGCTAATCTGACCTTACTTGGCAGATTACTATATTTTTTTTTGTAAGTATTGGTGGATACTAGCTGGATTTGTATTGCCAAAATAAATCCTCCAGTTTCAGGAAATAAGTATCCTTTCTTAAGCCGTTTAATAGAAGCTCCCTAGTTAATTCCCGATTGAGATATAGCATTATAAAAGCGACCATGTAGTGCTTTACTTTTCAAACTTTCGATCTGATTTTCTTCGGTAGGGACTTCTTTATGATCCGTTGAAACTAGGTTTAAAGCTGTGTAGGCATTTCCAGCGATTTTATTACTGACCATACAGAAGAGTTTCTTAGTGGGAAAGTGCACCTTAAATTATTTTCTTGTTCTCTACTGCTTCTTAACAAGCAGACAAGTCCCCTTTCTCTTCTTTTCTGAGGCAAGTACATCCTCTCTATTGAAGATTCTTTTTACCTTTCCTGGCTGAGGTAAAAAGAACTCTCGCCAAACGATTCATTTCCTCTAGCTCCGTATTAGATCATTTTCGAACGCCAAACATATATGCCAACATAGGAATAGCCCATTTATTTATTGCTTTAATAAATTGCTAGATGAGAGGTACGTTTTGAGTAGTATTTTTATTCTCTTCTTGAATTCTTCTTTATAATTCTCTTTATTACTTTTCTTGAATTTTACAAGTTGACAGAAACCTAAATATTTATAAGAATCAGAATTGTTTAATTATTTTATTGTTCCATTGTTAATTAGTTCTGTGTCTTGTTTATTCATTACCTCACTCCTTTTAACATGAATAATAGTACATTTATCTATTCCTAAAGTCATGCCTATATCATTACTAAATGTTTTAACCATTTTCTCAAGTTCTTCGTCACTCTTGGAATACAATTTTAAATCATCCATGTATTGAGCATGAGATAATCTGATTCCATTTTTATCGAGTCTGTAACCCATACCTGAATCATTTAATAATTTACTTGGTGGGTTTAATACCATACAAAACAGTATTGGACTTAAAAAGTCTCCTTGATACATTCCTCTATTTATAGGTATACAAATATTGGAATGACTAAATTTAGGCAAGTGTAATTTCACCTTCCAAGTCTTCATTAGACGTTCTAATAGCTCTACTATTTTAATAGTGTCTATTTTGTGCATGTTTAGTACTTCTATTAGCCATATGTGAGGAACTGAATCCTATGCCTTTTGTTCATCATTCCAGGCTATAGAAGCATTTCGCTTTTTCTTCGATATCTGGGAAGCTATGAACGAAGCTAATACCAGCAGTTCCTTACATCCTTCTTGCACCTTAATTGCTCTTTTGTTATGGTGTTATACTTGATATGGTCCGATATTTTACAACTGATCACAGGCGTAAGCAATTTAAACACCCCATTTAGGCAGATGAGCCCCCCTTTAGTTTTCTGTAATAAGTGGCCACAATTGAATGCGTACTAGTAAAGTACTTTAACCAATAATTCTGGATTTTGTCTGGATCAGGTGATTTCCAATTGTTCATTCATTTAACTGATTGTTTGACATCTTCGCTTAATGTTATTTCATCTATTGGATAAATCATCCTGTAGTTTTCCGAACCTTGTCTATCCAAAATCCATTAAAATTGTTTAGTTTCGGAGTTTCCCATATCTTAGACTAAAACTTTTCTGTTTCTTTTAAGTTGATATTTAACACACCGAGATTGGGTTGGTGAATCAATGAGTTGTAGAAGGTTTTCTGCTTTGTTAGGAACATGCAATTCTGCATCCGTCTATCTTCTTAATCTATTAGCATATACAGCCAATTTCTGTTTATTATTGTCTAAATAAATATTCAATTTATCTATTGATTCTGACTCCAGTACAGTTCCTAAATTGAGAAATACAATTTCATTCACTTTTCTCTTCAGTTTAAAGGTTGCTGCAGGGGCTTTCATAAATAATTTGTCACTATTCCGATTTCTTTGCGGATAACATCAATTTTATCTTTTAGGCTTCTTTTCCATGGTGGTAAATTCTTATTCATTTCCTCTTTCTTCCTTTCTTTTGGTGCCCCTAAACATAACTTTCATTATACCTAATTCGCTAGCCACTTGCTCCGATATATATCCAATGACGGATATCATTTATGTCTGAATCAGGCGTTAAGTATTCTAAAAAAACCTTATCCACTGCTTGTACAGTATCTAATGTTTTTTTACCATGTGGCACATTTGGAATTAATGGTCTATGTTCTAGTGGAATACCTTTAAATTTCAAGTTTTCTGTCAGCAACAGTGTTCTTATTCTATCAATATTATTTTGTCTATTTATATTTTCCCTATTAACTGAAATTTCTTGTTCGTTAGTAGAAACTCTAATTTCTTGCTGCTGCGTAACTAATTCTTGAATAGTGCCAAGATTACTATTTATTTCCTTGTTTATTTCAGTAATTCGGCGTCCCAAAGAAGCTTTCATTCAAAAATTAGCTTGACTTCATCAGCCAGTCTTTGTCCGGTAACGGAAATCTGAGGAAATGTCTCATTCCAATATCCAACAATCTTGCTGTGATATCCTGTTTTATTTGTTCCTATATTTGTAGCCAAATTATAAGCATGGATGGATATAACACTATAATGGCTTATAACTTTGAAAAGAAGCAACTCCACTATCCAGAATTAGAGATTTGTTGAGAACTCCGTTTTCCATTGAACAGAAACAAAAAAATAAAAGAAATCCTTCAAATCTGAGTCCTACTTATAACAGTAAGTAACAAAAATACAATCAAGTATAGTACAATTGTTGTGGCTTATTAAATTTATTTTATTTAACCCATAAAAATACAGAGTTTAGAATTACAACCCATTCCATAATCATTAATGAAATAGATAAAATATGACATCCATAATTACCTTGAAATTTCTTCCAATGCAATTGCATATGAAAGATAGTCTAGTCCAGCACCTCCATATTTTTCTGGCACTGAAATACCCATTAATCCCAGTTCACCCATTTTCTTAATCTGAAAAAATATTTTTAAAAATTAATGTGTATGAATACTCCCATCTTTTCCTCCTCCTCCCCCCCCCTGTTGTACCTTAGGGCAACCCTATACCAGTGATACATCCAATTTTTCTAACTTAATTATTTTAACTCGTTCCTAAGCCCTTCTCTTCTCCTACACTGATTACAGGATGAGTAAACTGGGACAAATTACGTAAAGACTTGGAAAATAAATTGGACCAAAATATTCCACTTAGGACGAAACATGACATTGGCTCAGCCATAGAAGTACTTACTACATCTATAAGTGACAAAATTAATGATAACACATCAACCAATAAAAATAACAACTCCCAACAGACTAATTTGTCACAGCACATTTGTATCTTATTAAGGGAAAAACGTAGAGCAAGATCGAAGTGGCATAGGACAAGATACCCATCAGATAAGTCATATTACAACAAGTTAACTAACCAACTAAAAGCTGAAATTAGAAAATACAAAATTCCAAATTTACTTAACTTCAATCCCAACTATTCTACTTTTTGGAACAGGACAACCTCCTAAACCCCCTCCAGTCCAGTTTCCGACCCATCTATTCGATTCAGTCTGCACTCAACAAAATTTACCATACAGCTCTGGACCAGCAGAAACTCACCATCCTTATTCTCCTTGACTTTTCCAAAGGCTTTTATTCCATTTACCACAATATCGCCTTTTCCAAGCTTCATAATCAGTCCCTATCATCTAGTGCCCTGCAGAAGTTTTGTTCTTTCCTCACCAGTGGTACCCAATACGTCGTTACACCGAATAATGCTCCCTCTGGTTCTCGATCCCTGCACCAAGAGGTACATCTTCATTAATGACCCTCCCCCCACTTGCCATCTAGCATCTCAGATTCCTCTAGTGCAATCATGATTGATCATCAGCTATCATGATTGGTTCCTCTTCTCTATTTAAATTCTTCCCAGGAAAAGCTTACCCAAGCAATTTAATCACCTACGTTACTTTCTCCAACATAAAACCCGATAACTCCTGGTTTAATCCCTTTTGCTCCCCAACTTTGATTACGGCTGTCTGGTGTACGGTGGACTCTCTGACAATCTTGAAGCAAGATTTAAATGGCTTATGAATTGCTTAGTTAGATTTGTTTTTGAGGTCGCCAAAGACATGTGAATAACTGAGTATTATGCCGAACTAAAGTGGCTCTACCCATCTTACAGGTGTCAGTATATCCTTGCGTCATTCCTATATTAGATTATCAGGACTCAGAGCCCATCTTACATACCACAGAGCTTGCAATTTATATCATCCATCAAATTCTCTACCACCAGATCCTGCCCTTCTGAGTTCTACTCTCCTCCCCATGAACTGTTGCTTCTGACAAATCCTTTCTCTCCCGAGCTGCCTCCTTCTGGAACTCTATCACACCTATCATCCGCCATGGTTTAACAGTTTCCTCATTCAAAGTTCTTCAACCACCTTTTCCGGGCCCACCGTAACTAATATTGTCCTATATTAAACTTACTTTTTTAGATCATCAAATGTTTCTCATAATTCATCTTAGGGCTATTTTCCACTAACTTCTTACTATTATTATCATTTCCATTTAGCTTATTTTATTTATTTTTTCTTATATTTATTTTTTAATGCAATTTTGTTGTTTCAGTTACTGTAAGAAATTTATTTTCATTTATACTCCAATTACTTTGTATTTATATTAATGAGTCCGGCTACACTGTCCTGGCCACTATGTAGTGTTATGTTAATTTTATTCTGAAGGAACATTGTCCCAGAATAATAAACAAATTTTCATTCCATTCATACATTTCATTTCAATAATCACTAGATATAAGTTAGATGATGGTATGACAGGTGAACTTTTGATACATACAACATATTAAACACAATCTTAGTAAGAACTTTTATGCATGGTGTATATCCATTATTAGGCTCACACTTACAATTATTCCAAGATTTAGATGATAGCACAAATAAACTTATTAATGATTGCGGTATTATTCTCAATCAATTAAAATCTAATGCTTCTTAGGTACCATAAATAATATTGAAGTGAGAAAACAACACATTCGTTCATTTAAAATGCCAAATTATGAACCAAAACCAGAACTTTCCTCAAATCAGAACTTCCAATCAAATAATACTTTTCAAAATATAAATTTCAAAACTTTAATCAAACATTTATGCTGCGACAAAACCATCAAAATTTTCAAAGACCTTACTTTAGCAGCAACACATAACAACAACATTCCTTTAATAATCAAAATAATTTTCAAAATTATAGACAATATCCCAATACTCTTACTATGAGAGCACCATTCTTATTCGTTTTAATTAACTAATTTCTACAGAATATATGATGTCTCCTTTCGAACTGACACATATACAACATAAACCAAACAGCCAGAATCATATTTTTATTAATTATATTTTAATATTTGAATTAAAAATAAAAATAATGTTAACCCAATGTATATGATGGATAGAAACAACAATGTTTTCAAGTAAAGGGATTTGCTGCGATATTTACTGCTGAATTGTTAGCGGGAGAGCATCATTTTTTAGAAAAAAGAAGACCTGAATATGACGTCAAAATTAGAAAATTTCCATGAAAAACAAAAAAAATCACGTTTTCTTTGTTTAAACTTGGGAATTTTTAAATTTGACAATAAATTAACTTCGAAAATTATAGAGACCTCATAATTTTAGGTACCTATTTATAACTACTATCAATATTACTACATATAATCCTATTTAAAGAAAAGAGAAATGTAGGAAAAATTCATTCTCATGCACGGATTTCCTAATGTAATATTTAAAAAAAATTATAATCAATCGTGACCTGCACTAGCGAATTCTGCCAGAGGGCATGCCCACCCTTAGATGGTGGAAAACAATTCCAAAAAGAGTGACAAAAAACACCTATTTAAAGAAAAGAGGATATAGTTTTTGGGACGGCGTGGGATGCGAAGGCTTGTGCCATTATCTCCGAACTGAGTTTCGTAAGAGAAATACATGATGGAGGAAAACTTATAAAAAAACAAAATGAACTTTATTTATTCTTTCGAATAACCTTTTATTCCAGCACAAGAAAATACTGGTCCGAATTTCTATGCAGTTCCAATAGATCTTGACGCATTGCAACCTCCAACTTCTTTAATGGACTTTACTATGCAAAGTGATAAATCAAAAAAATATCTTTCATTCGTCCATTCATAATCTCCTTGAAGAACCCATGCGATTCATAAATTCACAAAATCTGATTATGATCGGAATCGGAAATTATTCCGAGTTTTTTTTCTTAGAGAACTTAATTCCAAGCTGCAGGGCCATTTATAGTAATCTTTCTCAGATTTTGACAATGTCGGTAAAAATTATCATTCATTGACTGTGGTTATCGACCATATCAATTAATCAAATTATTAAGTTTAGGTACTCGTTCGACGCACAGTTTTACGTTCTTTAATTTCTTAAAGAATAAATTGTTCGCTTTGATGCACTCTTTAGTAGTAATACATGAAAAACAAATTTCAGCAGGAAAGTATGGAATTAAAGTTATATGATTTTTTATGTAAGTCACCTATTTTGTTGGATAGGAAGTGATAACAAAAACTATTTAATTTAACTAATTAATGAGTGCTTCACTGTAAACTGGACAAAATTTACTTTAAATAAAAATAGAATTTGCTTTTGTTAAAACCAATTTAAGAGGATCTTTAAACGGCTAAACTCAGCTAAGGAGTGGGGGGATATGGGTAGTGGTAGGGGAACGGGTAGGAGAGGGGGAAGCTCCTTTTATAGAGGTGTGCCCCCCCCCATGAGAAAATGCCTGGATCCACTGCCACTGCTTCCAGCAAACAGAGTATCACTTAGAGGCTTGACAAGAGGTTCCACAATATTGTCCTGATAGTTTTTAGCGGTTGTTTCAACTCCTTTTTCACAAAAATGGAGCTTTTTGGAGCAATAAAACCATCACTGAGGAAGGGTGATGACCTCTTTCCAATGTTCCAATGACTTCCTGGGCTTCTTTAGAGCTGTGTGCGTACACACGATCATTTTGGCGATTAAATTTTTCTTCATTTGTAAAATTTTTCTCATCGTTAAACAAAATCTTTCGATGAAGACCATAGGTATAACCGCCAAAGAGCACTTTGCATCTATCCACTTTTTTTTAGGGAAGTAGTTAGCCTTTATTCTGTTATTCTCCGAAATGCACCCAACCTAAGGTCACTTTTTATTTTATTATCACTTTTTATTACTGATCTGACAGGGATTCCTATTTCCCGAGGCATGATTTGTTGTTTTCAAATGGGATTTCTTCTGATTCGAGCAGCCACTGCTCTCACTGCATTTGCCGTTATCACAGTGTGGGGACGGTCGAGGTCTGTCACATACAGATAGGGTCTCATTATATCTATTTATAGTGCAGTACACAAACATACAGCTGAAACCCAAAGATTTCAAAGTGTTGAAAATCTCTGACATCATTTTCCAACTTTGTGTAAGGCGATCACAGCTATTCGGTTTTCTTTATCAACCCACTCCATGTTAACTGAGCGAAAGAAAAATACAAACTAATTGGGATTATTATCCTGACATGTAAAGAAAATAACCTGATAGAGGTAACAATTATCTAAATAATACCCAAGGATGTAAACAAAGTTCAACATTTGTAACAGTATTTATGGCAGAACTAGGTATATGTGAGAAAACATCTCCAAGGCAACCTTTGACCTTCTGATCAGCTGGAAGCCACGAAAAAAAAAAGTTGTACCTTATCATTTATTCATTTAGAAATTGAGTTAACATTTAAGATTTAGCAATATTAATCAAGATTATAAGAAATTCATTTTATTTTAATATTTCTTTTTTTTTCTCGCTTATAAATTTAAATTTTAATGTTAATTTACAATGTTTTATTTTTTATATTTAATTGATTTTTTTGTAATAAGGAGATAATTATTGTAGAAATAGAAACAGATAAATTATTTTAAAATAAAATTATTCAACCATGTTAGATTATAATTTGGAAAAATTCCAAACCACACAGCCTTATGTCTCTAAAATGCAGGCAAAGAAAATAAATCCGTCAACATTTCACCAATTCAGAAAAAAAACAGCTAATCGAACAGTACTTCATGACATCCAAATACTTACTAGAAGGAAGGTAAGGCAACACAGCCAGGGAAGGTTACAATCAAACAGCTGATCAAGGAAATGACTGACTGAAAATTATGCAACATCTAACCAAAAATCATAAATATATAACATAAGAAAAAGAAATATAGATAGAGAAATAAATAAGTCCATATGAACAAACCAATACTTCAACTACCTACTTTAAAAAAACAATTTATTCTTACAACTGAGGCTTTTAACTTTGCTCCCGGTGCAGTATTATCACAAAATTTTAACAATAAAGAATTACCAATAGCCTACACTTCGCAAATATTAAACAAACATGAAGAAAATTTAACTACTATTAAAAAAGAATTACTTGCAACTGTTTGGGCATGTAAACATTTTAGACCTTATCTATATGGTAATAAATCTATAATACAAACAGATCATAAACCACTTCAATGGTTACATAATATTAAAGAACCTAATTCAAAATTATTGCAATGGAAGTGTTTATTATCAGATTTTGATTTTGTGTGCTTCATATGTTTAGAGAGGAAATAGTTGAGATAATTATCCAGAGCATTCCATAATAATGAAGGTCCTGGAATACAGTATAACGAATGAGGTTCTGAAATGTTCAGAATCTGAATCCTATCTTATTTTTTCCAATTTTGTCCTTTGTTTTGCTACAATATTAAAAAAATCAATGTTAGAACGGTTTACTAGCACTCAGAAAACCTGGTACAGCTCTTATCCCCATCTTCATTTCATTAGCTTACTTAACCTTTTTTTCTCCCATAGAACAGCATACATACTGTTCATTAAACTCTTAAAACTTGTTGCTAAAATCTACTGTTATTGATTGTTGACTTTTCTTTTAGAAATAATTTTTTTCTTACAGGTGTATCCCATTTATGTGTAAACCTGATTTATTTTTAGCTTATATTTATTGAAAAATTAATGACTAACTTATTCCAAAATTAAAAAAATAAATAAATAAGAACATCTTAATATGGACCAGGAAAAAAAAGAAAGAAATTGAGGTGGATAAGTAAATACCTGATCTTTTGGATATTTATGTTCTTGGTCAAAAGTTGCAGCATGCGGAATTAATTCCCCTTCTGCAAAATCTCTACATGTCTTCATAAGAAGCTTATGTGTTTCAGATAATGATGTACTAAAGGAAAGACTGCGCTGAGAAAATTTTCTGCAAACTAAAAGATGCTTACCTGCAATTTAAATTAAAAAAATGATTCCACAAATAAGCTAATAAATTTTATTAAAAGTCTTAAAATCATTAAATAAAGTAAATAGGCCCAAATCGACCAAATAAAAAACAAATTTATACATTCATGAAACTTTTATTATAACTTCATCTTGGCAGTAAGAATTAAGATCTACAGGATCAACTATAAATATTGCCAATTTGTATAAATGTTGTTTGATTATTGTCAAAGTATGATAATCTTTACTGTTACTTTTGAACTTGAGTTACTCTGCTTTATCTAAAATATTTTAGTCTGTAACATTGAGGTCCATAATTATTAGGAAAACATCATACAAATTTATGGTTCCTCTGTTGCAATCAACTTCTTAGAATATATGCTAATACATAATCAGTAGTTCTATTATTCTGTAAGGTGTCGAGTCTGTCAATCTTTAAATATTTTTTTAATTACAATTTTTATTTCTTCAATAGTTATTATTTTTGTTGTGATAAATACTTTTTTATTCATTTTTCATTTTTATTTTATTTTTTTAAGAGAGAATAAATAAAGTAGATATTTATATTAAGGTATTAATATGATATTATCTAAATGAATAACAATGTAATAATTTAAATGTTTAATTTATTTTAATTGGAAAATCTTTTTTTCTGTTGATTTTATAAAAAAAAACATTTATCTTCCCAAATAAATACTTTTTTAAAAAATATATTTTAAAGGCTTCAAGGACTAGGCTGAACATCGCCTTATTTTGTCAAGTATTAAATTCCCCCATATCCACTTTTTGGGTCGCTCGATCTGCCAACTCATTACCTGATATTCCACAATGCCCATGGACCCAAACAAAATACTCCGACATATTATTTTCATATGCAGATTTTAAAGAGTACAATATATTTTGGATGATAAAGTTAGATGTGAAAATATTTCTTAGACTGAGTAATGCGGATAGAGAATCTGTGCAGATAACCCGTCATTTTGTTGTGGAACAGATAACATTTAGGCTTTTGCCAATTGCAAATATTTCGGCTGTATAACTACTACATATTTTCGACAGAGAGAATAAATGTCGTTCATTGCATACATTTGATGGTCCCATACCTGCGTAACTCTTGGACCCGTTAGTGTAGATGAAGTCAGAATCCCCTAGTCTGTCTTGTAGTTTGAGAAATTCATGTTCATTTCTATATGGCAAAATATTGCTTTTAAGAAACTTTGCGAGAGAAATATTGATTTTTGGTGTGGGAAGTCCCCAAGGATAAATTGGTGAAATTCCATTTTCTTGCAAAGTAGCTGGTTCAATGATTAGGTTGTTTAATAATGTTGAAACTCTAAATGTAAAAGGTTTTCACTTATCCTCGGACCGATCTGATGCTGACCTAGATACTGTCTGTTAGGAAATAATAATATTAGAGGATGGTTGGAAAAAGACTAATTTTAGCAAAGTAAATTAGGTCAAGTTGTCTTCTTATGTCAAGCGGTATTAAATATAATTAAGTTGCCGATTAAAGGGATGGTTTATGCTGATAATCTTTTAATTTATACAGAGGGAAAACAGGTAATGGTCTTACAAGAAAACATACAAACAGCTTTGGACAACATCAGTGCATGGCTTGCTGATCATGGTTTCAAAGTTTCAACAAATAAGACAGTTGTGATTCTTTTTAGCAAAAGACAGCTAAATTTACAGCCATCACTGAACATAGACAATCAACCAGTCACTTTTTCCAACACTGCCCGGTACCTAGGAATGATCTTTGATAAAACACTCAATTGAGTTCAATATACCAAACAATTAAAGGCTAACTACCTCTGTTCCTTGAATCTTTTAAAAACGGTCAGTAACACAGAATTTTGTTCACCACTGCTTCAAATTCCTCCAATTGAGCTTTAATTTCTGAAGCACTAGCCATACAAATTTCCTTTCTAGCAGAGAGACCCTTAATCATATCGAAAGTGGTTTGAATTCTAAGAAACATCTTTTCCTTCCTATCCTTAATAGCTATAAGTCCTTCAGTACTCTTAGTCGATAAATAGTAAATGTACTCTTAGTCGATAAAATAAATGAAAAGTTCAGCAAAGCAGGCCAAGACAAGCAAGGATTAACGAAGTCATTTAATTCCAGCAAGTCACTATGCGTTCTTTCCTGAAAATTCCTATAAACTTGCCTGAAAACAGCTTGACCTCCCCAAATATGTAACGAGAATAAGATATATTTAAAAAAAATGAATCAATTTGCGAAATACGAATATTAACTTGGAAATATACCATTTTTACAAAAAAAAAAAAATCAATTGTTATTAATCTAGCACCCCCAAATACGCAACAAAGCAAGAAATAGCATAAGATACATTTAAAAAAAAAAACAAAAAAAAAACGAATATCAGCCCAGAAATAGACGATCTTTACAAAAACTCTCATAACCTACCAGACAATTTACCTCCTTTACGTACAGCAAAATTTAATAAAGGCAAATCACTCTAACGAGTTCAAAATAGGCAACATTCGACTTATTTATGCAGTGGACTGTATTTTGATGAAGTTGTAGGTTATATGAATTTTGCAAATTGACGCACTCTTTTATACTGGCCTAGAAATCTTATTACTTAACTGACAGGGCACTCCAGCTGTTGCCTCTGTAAATACCTGGGACCAAGTGGGTCGAGATAGTCTGGAAGCTGGCACGAATTAAATTTTATCTTTTAGATCTTATATTTTTAATCTGAACTGCCCCCACCACTCGTCGCAACGCGACAATCGGGCACAAAACAAGCATCTTTCCTGCGGATGTAGATAATGAGGATGAGGAAATCAATTAAATTAATTTACACAATATTTTTCTTTTATTTATGTTATTGTTAATTTTTTTTCTCTGGATATATTAAATTAATGTTATATTAAGTAGTTTAAACAATAAAAATCTTATTTTTTATTTATTTGTGAAGAGTACATGATTTCAAGGATATCAAGATTGAGGTTAGGATCAGTGGGCTAGTAGGTTGGTGAGTTGGGAGGAAGGATGCTGAAAGTTGAGGAATTGGGTGCAGACAGCAATGATCTAACACGAGGGAGGATTCGAGGTTCTTGAACCCCATTCTTGATGCTTGGCGTTTAAGTCTGCACCCAGGATGAAATTATGTCCTAAGGAGTTAAGGAGAAAACTGCAATGGATATTGGATATGGATCTGGGTACTTGTTCATTAGCCGGGCGGGATGAAACCTCCCTTGTTATCTAACGTTAAGTCACATAATCTCCTTCTTCCTATCTCGCCAAACCGTTCAGTTATTAAATTCTTTATTTTTGGCACGGAGTTATTTTCGTCAAATTATGGATCTTGTTACATTCTGGGAATTACCATCTTCAGAATATATTGAATATATTCAAAACGTTGGGATGATTCCAAACGTGAAATTGTGTGAACAAGGTCATCAAATGAAGTTAGACAGAGACGCGAAACGGAGATGCTGTTTCAGTACGGAAAGGAACGTGGTTAGAGGGGTCGAGGATTTCGTTTTTAACGGCTTTAAAATTTATATATATTAATTTAATATATATGTCGTAAAATAAAATTATTTTTTTATTATTACATTTGTTTTGGTTTTTGTTTACAATTTCATATACAATATGAAAAGAACGCAGTCTTTTGTTACATTATATATATATATATATATATATATATATATATATATATATATATATATATATAATCTTATATCTTAGGTGTATATATTAATTTAATATATATGTCGTAAAATAAAAGATTTTTTCTTTATTACATTTGTTTTTGTTTACAATTTCAATAATACGAATATAATACAATAAATATGAATACGAAGATAGGAATTACGAGAAGGCTCATCAGAATTATCAGTGTTCAGGTTGTAAACATTGGCAGATAGAAGTCCGTCCCGCCCGGCTAATGGACAAGTACCTGGATCCGTAAAGAGGGCAAAATGCTGATGCTAGTGTGATGGGAAAGGAAAAGGTTTTGATTACAATGGCGGTGGATTGTAGGAAATCTTGAGTAGGTAATGGGAGTAAGTGATGGGAGAGGGATTGGTGTACAATGATAGCATTACCAGCATGTGCTCTCCCATCAGGATGGTCAGTTCTATGTTAAATATTGCGGTATTTTGAAGAGTTGTTTAGTGGTTAGTCGACTTTCACTAATTACTGCCATATCAATGTTTTTTTTAACAATGTAAACAACATTAATAGGGGTGTGTTGTGGAAATATAATTTTGTATTTAGCGGTTGCACGCCGACACTGTGTAAGCTTTACTTTCATTGGTGATCTCTAACGTAATCTTCAGCCAATCAAGACCAGTGTTACTGTTTTAAGTCTGCCTGCTACAGGTAACCTATGTTATAGTCCATGATTCACAAGTTCTTAAATAAAATCTATTTTAATCTTAAAGTGTTCGACTCTGTTTAATAAAGCCCAATATACTAGACCACTTTCTGAATCAATTGACGTTTGTCTGCCGGCTTCTGCATGCTACCTGCATCCACTAGCGGATCCAAGATTTAATTTTGGGGGGGCTTCAGCCCGGAAGCTTTTTTTCATATATATAACGATAATTACTTTAGAAAACAGAAAGATACTAACTACCTATATGAAATGGTGTTTAAGTGATTCTTAAGTCCTATTAAATGTAATTAAACGAGCAATAATACTTTAAGACATAATTTTTTAACATTTTTTACCATAAAACATGATTACATTTTACCATTTTGGGGGGGGGCTTCAGTCCGAAAGCTGTATAGTACTGTATAGTATATAATATAATCAGAAATATTATAAGTACCCGCGTTTTCAGCAAAAATGAATACAATTAACTGTTGCAAAGCTTTTATTTTTCGTTTTTCTCTGATATGGGATGTATTTTAATAAACATAATTGCTTAAAATAACATTTTACTTATAAAAATAATGATTGTTCAAATATTATTCAAGTATGGCGGTTATAAAATTGTGTTTTCCTGCCAGATTTCTATCATAG